AGACAAAGGGGTACATAGCAAACTGGGAGAGGCAGGATCCACAGTACTGTCCCAATCAGACTGGGTCACACACACTCTTAACTGGTATCTTGGAATGGAAAATTTCTCAGAAAACTTTCTAGTGTTATTTGGGACTAAGTCTCCCCAGTTTGTTCCTTGTCTGGCATTCTAATTGCTTTCAGATATATTAGTTCAAATACTTCCGGTTGTTGGGACATAATCAGTGATGTAAACATTAACAAAACAAAACAAAATAAACAATAAACTTACTACATCAAATCATGCTATTAGAACATCAGGAAATGTTCTAAAAATGTACAATTCAAACTTTTCTAGCCAATCCGTATTACCGATTTTAGTCCACGTGCAGCTGATCTATGCCACAATACCTCCATCTGCTCTGCATCTAGTTGTTATATGATATCAAGTCTCCAGTGATGCATCCTTACACTTAATCTTTTCTAATTCCTTCATTGCCGCCCTTCCAAGTCTCTGTCTTCTCCTGATTTCCTGGCTGTCTCCATTTGGATTCATGACTGAACTAAGGTACATTAGTCCCCAGACACGCAGATGATATCACTCTTATGGCAGAAAGTGAGGAGGAATTAAAGAACCTCTTAATGAGGGTGAAAGAGGAGAGCGCCAAAAATGGTCTGAAGTTCAACATAAAAAAAAATAAGATTATGGCCACCTGACCCATCACCTCCTGGCAAACAGAAGTATGGAGGCAGCTTTCTTGGGCTCCATGATCACTGCAGATGGGGACAGCAGCCACAAAATTAAAAGATGCCTGCTTCATGGGAGGAAAGCAATGACAAACCTAGACAACATCTTAAAAAGCAGAGACATCACTTGCATACATTACTGAAACAGCGACGTCTATGTTGGCTTGGGCATGCCGTGAGAATGGCTGATGGTCAGATTCCAAAGGATCTCCTATATGGAGAATTAGTGCAGGGAAATCGCCACAGAGAGAGACCACAGCTGCGATACAAGGACATCTGCAAGCAGGATCTGAAGGCCTTAGGAATGAACTCAACAGATGGGAAACCCTGGCATCTGAGCATTCAGTCTGGAGGCAGGCAGTGCACTATGGCCTCTCCCAATTTGAAGAGACCCTAGTTCAGCAGGCCGAGGCGAAGAGGAAGTCACAAAAGGCAAAATCAGGGAGTTGTCACAAAAGCAGCAAAATCAGGGAGCTGATTGGATTTGTCTTCCGTTTGGAAGGGATTGTCACTCTCGAATTGGCCTCCTCAGCCACACTAGACGCTGTTCCAAGTCCTCCATACAGAGCATGTTACCATAGTCAGGTAACGTGCTCTGTATGGACTGAAGGTTGCCTAATGAATGAATGTATGGAAGTGAGAGCTGGACCATAAAGAAGGGTGACTGCCCAAGAATTGCTGCTTTTCAATTGTGGTGCTGGAGGAGACTCCTGAGAGTCCCCTGGACTGCAAGGAGAACAAACCTATCTATTCTGAAGCTGAGGCTCTAATACTTTGGCCATCTCATGAGAAGAGAAGACTCCCTGGAAAAGACCCTGATGTTGGGAAAGTGTGAGGGCAAGATCAGAAGGGCACAACAGAGGATGAGACAGACAGTGTCGTTGAAGCGACCAACATGAATTTGACCAAACTCCGGAATGCAGTGGAAGACAGGAGGGCCTGGCGTGCTCTGGTCCATGGAGTCACGAAGAGTCGGACACAACTTAACTACTAAACAACGAAGTCCTCAGGATTCCTGGATCAACTACAGACAGAGGGAACCCACTGAAGAGAGTGAGTAGAAGGGTGAGAGGAGGAAGTAAGAGTGCATGTATACAGCAGGCTGAGTTCCAGCAGCACAACTGTGGATAACTTAACTCAGATACTGAATCTGCAGTGCTAATTGAATACAAAATTGTTAGCGAATTCAATTTTTTCATTGTTAACAGTAAAATTCTGGAGTTCCTCTGTAGTAATGATTTTTGTCTCAATGTTCCACTGTAGTTCTGCTCTGGCATTTTCTTCTTTCACTTTCACTACAAGTCTTTGCAAATCATTATTACTTTTTGTCACTATGATGGTGTCATCTGCGTATCTTAGATTATTGATGTTTCTTCCACCAATGTTTGTTTGATTGTTTATTGAGCTTCTAGACCAGTGGTTCTTACCTTTTTAAAAGAAAGGCCCCCTTGAGTCATTGAGGAAGTTATCATCGCCCCCCCTCCCTGCGGTGACAGTGCGGCAGCATGGCAGTGCTGTGGCGCCACCATGGGGAGGGGGTGATAACTTCCTCAATGGTGGTGGCAGTGGCACAGCGGTTGCGTGGCGCCACCATGGGGAGGGGGCAATAACTTCCTCAATGGTGGTGGCAGTGGCGCAGCGGTGCCAGTGGCACCACATCTACTGCCAGCACCAGCTGCTCTGGATCCGGCAGTGCGGAGAGGGGGCAATCATGACTTCCACAACTGCAATGGTGGCATAGCGCTCCCCTTATGTTCTGCTCTGGATCCGGCGGTGCAGGGAGGGGACAATCATGACTTCCACAACTGCATAGCGTCCCCCTTATGTCCCCCCACGTTGCCCCTTTTTGTTCCATCGCCCCCCTGAAAAATGAAATCGCCTCCTGTGGTGCAATATTGCCCAGGTTAAGAGACACTGCTGAGGGCACTTTACATAATTAAGCAGAACATACAAACTAAAATGACAAAAGAACAACATAATATCACAACCTAAACAGAAACAAAAAGGTGATTGAGGATTACCAGATGGTTTAGATGTTCACTATTTATTAATATGAATCTAGTCTGCCGTCCCATAAAATATGTTCTGCGTTCAGACTGAACAGATAAGGAAATAAACTGCACCCTTGTCTGACACCTTTGCCTTTAAGAAACCATTCTGTCTCTCCATATTCTTTCTTAACAGTAGCGTTTCATCTATACAAGTTATACATCAGGACAAACAAGTGCTGAAGCACACACATTTCTTGCAGAATAATCCCATGATATTGAGTTCCCTTATGTTCTTGGACTACAGCTCTCATAAATCTTTGTGGTTTGTTTCAGTTTTACTCTAAAGTTGGGTATTAACAGTTCATGATCAGTACCACAATCTGCACCTGGTCTGCATCAACTTATTCATGCCTTAAAAATGTCTTTTCCACCATAATCCCAGGTCATCATGAGAGGTCCTTCAGAGTCCTCTCTTCTTCTCAAACAAAGGTCTAGTGTTGGATTCAAATTTTGACAATCCCTCATTGGCTTTGTTGACAACAGCTGCAAGAAGTTGAAATCCCCAATATTTTAATTACTATTTTGGAGGACCTTTAGAATAGCGATACCCTACACATGGGATACTATTCCTAATGAAGCTAATCTGATACCACACTAGATGTTCTTCTGGTGCTAAGCAACCCCCTTTTTACTTGGCCAGACTTTTCAGCATGCTATCTGGGGTCAATCTGATGCTTTTTAATGACAGAGAATGGTTCCTAACATTCTGGTTGATTTTAAAAAATATTAACTCTTGCACCACTATTAATAGTGGTGTAACTTTCTGTCCATTCCTTCCTTGTAAATAAACTTCCACTACTAGGATTCTTGCAGCAGTGGCAATTTGTTTCAGGGAGGAATGGACGGAAAGTCATGCTCGGCTTATGCTACAAACACAACTTCAGCCATTATTTTATATTACAGTGGTGCCTTGACTTACAAACAGCTCCATTTGCAAAATTTTGCTTTGACTTGCAAAGAGAGCTTTGACCTACAAACAAAAAAAGGCAGGGGGAAAGGCCGGGAAATTCAAACTGTTGGTGGTGAAGAGGCTGCTTCTTTGTAGCTCTTTAGCCCCAACGGTTCGGGAAAGGGAAGCGGAAGCAGTGGGGGTGTCCCCGCGTTGGGAGGGTTGAGCCCAGCCGGGAGGCCATTTGAATTTCTTGGACTCCTGCCTCCTGGCGCGGAGTCTGTCCGCACTGCTCACTTCCTGGCCATGTTCCCGTAAGCAGAGACTGGCTGGGAAGCACACAGGAGCCCCGGCCGGGCAGTGGCAGAGGTCGCTGCAGCGGTGGAAGCCCAGGAGGCTTCAGACTGGTAAGGTCATTTTCCTTTTTAAAAAACTGTTCTGGGCAGATTTTGGAGGGTGGGTTTGGACTGGGTGGGATTATGTTTCTGTGCTGTGTTGTTTTGTTTTTGGATTTGTGTGGAGTTTTTTGTTTGTTTTTTGCAGTCCAAGCATGGGACTTGCTCTATTTATTTTTATTTTGGTATTTTTTTGAAATTCTGGAACGGATTAATCCCATTCCCATGCATTTTAATGGGAAATGGTGCTTTGACTTACTAACATTCTGACTTACGAACACCATTCCGTTACAGATTAAGTTCATAAGTCAAGGCACCACTGTATAGCATTCTTAAGAATACTCTCGGCCAAATGGGATTTTTGTCAATTGAAGGGCAGCACAGAAATATTATTTTTCTCTATTTCGATACCTACCCATCTTCAGATGCACACAAGAGAAAGATTGGCTGCTATGGGGAACAACTTTTCAAGCTACAGTTCATGCAACTTCTGAGGAATTAAGACTGAGGCTTTATCAATCAATTTCCAGGGAATTGCTTCTTTTTCAATGAAAAGTCCTATCTAGGTACACAGAATCCAATTGGGAAGCTTTATAAATACTTCAAAGGCTAAGCTCAATGATCCTCAGATAAAGGGCTTCAAAAATAACTATGAATTCAAATGGGGACAGATCACCCTCAACCAAGCTACAAGGCTCTAAGAGGGATAATTTAGAAAACTTGCTTTTGGTACTAATTTTCTTCTTTCTTGAACTATGCTCCATAGATTTAAACAGAAAACAGAAGCAACCAGTCTTGAAACAATTAACAGCCAAGCTTCAACTAGCTTAAACACAGAGAAACCTTATTGCTCAGCTGATGAACTTCAGCAATAACCTTATCTGAGGGACAGAAATTATAAAAATGTGTATTTTCTTTAAAACACCCTAAAATCATTCACCTTTGGAGAAAACTTCAAGGTGATTAGATGATCCCGACCACAGGAATCTTCTGCTTTTAACCTGATGACATTAAAACCAGGATCCACAAACAGAACCCTGGAAAAAGAAACAAATTCCACAGTAATTCTAGTTATAATTTGCTCATATTAATCTGATACAAATATATTAATCCAAAATCATCCATATGACATTAATTTCTGGTGTTAAGATTGACTACTGTTGATATAACAGTCAACTGCTTAATGCAGTCATATGTGTATCTCTGGGTTATTTACACTGCGTGTCAAAGCACATGCTGTGGTCAGTGAATACTGTGAATCAATTTTCCATCACTGAAATCTTGGGCATGCACAGCATGTTCATGTCAGCCTCTACTTATGTACACATTACACTTCCTGACAACAATCTGATCCATTTCTACAATTACTTGGAGTAGAAAGATTTCATGCTCAGTTTTTCTTCAATGAACTTTTGTCACTGTAAATACAGATATTGTATCAATAGTACTGCTCAGATACTGGGAATATACTGAGGACGAAAAAACATAATCTTGAATTATAGCATACAGTAGATTGTGAGATTTGTAAATCTTCACAGGAGATTCAGTCATACAAAACATTTTGGACAGCCTTTCCTCATAAGGCTTGGTTTCCAGCCCTTTGATCATCCTTGTCATCCTCCTCTGAACTTGTTCCAATTTGTTAGCATCCTTCTTGAAGTATGGTGTCCAGAATTGGAGACAATACTCAAGGTGAGGCCTAACCAATGGTGAATAGCGGGGGACTAGCACCTCGCAGGATTTGGAAACTATACTACTATTGATGCAGCCTAAAATAGCATTTGCCTTTTTTGTAGCCACATCACACTGTTGGCTCATATTTAGCTTGTGATCTAGGACAACTCCAAGATCCTTCTCACTTGTAGTTTTGCGGAGCCAGGTATCCCCCATCTTGTAACTGTGCAATTGGTTTCCTTTCGCGAAGTGCAGTACTTTGCACTTATCCCTGTTGAATTTCATTCTGTTGCTTTTGGCCCAGTGCTCCATCCTATCAAGGTCATTTTAAATTTTGTTTCTGTCTTCTAGGGTTTTAGTTATTCCACCCAATTTGGTATCATATGCAAATCTGATAATCATTCCCTGCACTCCCTCATCCAAGTCATTAATAAAAATATTGAAGAGCACCGGGCCCTGGGCTGAGCCTTGGGGTACCCCACTGGTTACTTTCTCCCAGTTAGAGAAGGACCCATAATCATCACCCTCTGAGTACAATTCTGTAGCCAATTGTGTATCCACCTAACACTTGATCTATCCAGCTCACACCTAGTTAGCCTGCTAATCAGGATATCATAGGGCACTTTGTTAAAAGCTTTGCTGAAGTCAAGATAAACTACAGTGGGGTCTTGACTTGAGAACTTAATCCGTATTGGAAGGCGGTTCTCAAGTCAAAAAGTCTGTAAGTCAAGTCTCCATTGACCTACAGTGCATTGAAAACCGATTAATCCCGTAACAGGCCGTTTTTGTTCCATTTTGTTTTTTTTCTGGTCTGTAAGTCAAATCTCAGTCTGCAAGTCAAACCTAAATTTTGCGGCCAGAGAAGTCTGTAACTCAAAAAGTCTGTAAGTCAAGCCGTCTGTAAGTCAAGGGTCCACTGTACATCTATAGGGAGGTGACCTGATCAAAAAAACAAGGTCAAATTAGTTTGACAGAATTTGTTCTCAACAAATCTGTGTTGGCTTCTAGTTATTACTGAATTGTTTTCTAGGTGCTTGCACAATGACCACTTCACAATCTGTTCCAGAATTTTGCCTGGGATTGATGTCAGGCTGACTGGCCTGTAGTTCCCAGGTTCCTCTTTTTTGTCCTTTATGAAGATAGGGACAACATTGGCCCTCCTCCAACCCTCTGGCACCTCGCCCGTTTCCCATGATTTCAAGAAAATAATGGATAGCGGTTCTGAGAGTTCTTCAGCCAGTTCCCTCATTACTCTCGGATGCAGTTCATCCGGCCCTAGAGATTTGAACTCGTTCAAGGTGGGTAAGGTACTCTTTGGCTATTTATCTATCTCCAGTTGCAATCCTCTCCTCTCCACCTGCACTTCCAATTTGTTTCCCAAGTTCATATGGGAAACTAACTATCGGGCTATCTCCAATAATTCATTCTTGGACAAAGTGCTTGAACACATGGTGGCCTCCTAGATCCAGAGATTCCTGGATGAAATGGATTAAACCAGGGGTCTCCAAACTTTTCACATAGAGAGCCACATAATATATTTTTGATAGCCGAACAAACGTATGTGTACACCTGCACGCACGGGCCGGATAATAAGGCCAGGCAGGCTGTATGTGGGCCATGGGCCATACTTTGGAGACTCCTGGATTAGATCTATTTCAATTTGGCTTCAGGCCTGAATATGAGACAGAAACAGCACTGGTCACCTTGCTTAATGAACAACACCTAGAACTAGACAGGGACAGCATGTTATAGTTAGTTCTTTTTCACCAGCTTTTAATAATGTTAGCTATGGCATCCTTCCAGGTTGTCTCCCTACATTGGCACTGTTTTACAGTTGTTCTAGTCCTACATGGAGGGCCAATCTATAGTGTTGAGGAACTCCCATTCATTGCTGTGACTGTGCACTCCAAGGTTCTGTTTTATCAAAGATTCTCCTGGTCAGTCAAGGACAAAGATTCAACTTGTGCTGGATGGGGTTGCACTGATTCTGGAAAATCAGACACACAGCCTGGGTGTACTCCTAGATTCATTGCTAAGCATGATCTTAGCACTGACCAGGAGTGCATTTGCACCATTTAAATTGCCATACCAGTTGCATCTACTGTATATATGTCCAAGTTGGTTTCTGCTGGGCTTCTCACCAGCTTTTTATACCACTAACCATGTTATCCTTCTGGGTTGTCTCCCTGGGACGGGATTTTGGAGGATCTGTTTTACATTGGCTCCAAACCTTCCTGGAGGTGAGCTCAGAAGATAGGGCTGGATGACTCCTGTTTAAAAACCTGGCCACTGGCCTGTGCTATCTATCCCTCAAGGCTCTGTTTTCCTCCCATGCTATTTACCATCAACATGAAAATACCGGATCACCATTATGCTGATGATAACCAACTCTCTCTCCTTTCCATCTAAATCTGCAGAAGCTGTTTCAATGCTAGACTGGTGTGTAGTGTCAGAAATGGACTGAATGAGAACAAATAAACTGAAATGCAAGCTGAAATGCAGATCAGGGAATCAAGATCCAGTCTGTGATGTCTGTGGTTACACCTACCCTGAAAACACAGGTGTGCAGCTTGGGTGTGCTCTGGGATTCAGCCCTGAGCTTAGACACACAGGCCTCAGTAAAGGCCAAAAATGCCTTTGCACAGTTAAAAAGATTCACCAGCTGCATTCACTCCTGAAGGGGCCTGATCTGGCCATGGTGACACATGCCTTAGTTACATCCCAGCTGGATTACTGTAACATGCTCTATGTTGGGCTGTCCTTGGAAAGTGTTCAGAAACTTCAATTAGTTCAAATATTGCAGCCAGATTGCTAAGTGAGGCTGGTTACAGGGATCACATAATCCCCATTACAGTATTTTCAATGGCTCTGGGTTTCTTTATGATCACAATTCAAAATGCTGGTTTTAAACTCTAAAGCTCTAAAAGGCTTGGTCCCAAGCTATCTCAGACCAAATCTCCCTTTATGAACCTTCTTTGGTTTTAAGATCACAGGAAGCCTTTCTCTTGATCCCATCCACACAGGTGCATTTGATAGTGACACAGGAGAGGGTCTTCTCCATCGCTGCTCCCAGACCCCTTACCAAGGGAAGCCAGGCTGACTTTTTGCAAGCAGGCAAATAACCTTTTTTCTAGGCAGGCTTACTCTTATTGCCTGGCTACCTAAGAGGGGATTTTTTTAAACAAGGAAAGTGGTGCTTTTAATGTGTTTTTAGTATTGTTTTTATTTACAAGGTTTAATATTTAATTATCTCTTTATATTGTAATGATTTATTATTTTCAGTTTTCAATATTGCTTCTTTTTAATACTACAAGCCACATTGGATCTTTTTTAGGACAAAATCACGCTATAAACGTTCCAAATGCATGCATACATACACACACCAACCATCCTAGATACCCCATTAGAGTAAATAAAAAAAATATATAATTATACAGACAGATTTTCTCAATATTTTGCAAAAGAGTTTGATTGATAAACTTGACATACTTATTCCAGCCCAGTATTTCTATATGTTCAATGAGAGCAGAATAATACTGTGGAGGTGGTGATGCATGGAATTCTTGTCTGTTTTTCAGAGCAACGTCCTATTAGGAAATATTATAACATTAGCAATGTTAACAACAACATTTTGTGGGATTTCCGGATCCAAATGGACAGACACCTTAAACATAACACAGCAGACATAGCAGTAATAGAACAAAGAAATGTGCAGATCATGGACACTGCAGTTCCAGGCATACTGTGCCGATTTTTAACAGATACTTAGGTTTTTAGTTAAAACGTTGGGTTTTTTTTTTGGGCTACACAAGAACAAGAACTCCAAACAGACATAGTAGTAATAGAACAAAGGAATGTCTGGATCATTGACATTTCAATTCCAGGGGATGCCAGAGTTCAAAATAAAGAATTGGAAAAACTAAGAAAATACAGATATCTGGCAATCAAAACATCTTGCTTGTGGATGAAACACACTTCAGTGGTCCCCATAGTTATTGGGGCTTTGGGAAGAATACTTCTAAGGAGACATGCATAGGGCTGCACTGTTAGTCAGGACCACACATAGCTAAAGTTTCTACATGAAAACTGAAAAGCATTAGTCCATTAAACTGCTTTTAAACACTCCGACAGAACCTCCTGCACATTTTAAACAAGTATTATCAGTGAATGTATGCATGCAAATATGAAGCATGCCTCCAAGTTAAAGAAAAAATAGAATCACTTAAACACTTAAAGTGTGACTAAAAGCACACTTTAAAAAGTAAAGGATCCATTAAATGAATGGCTCTCTTAATGGCGAGGCATATTTAGAAAATTTCCAGCTACCAGCAAAATTCTTCCTTGAAATGTACTACACTTCATTTCTTAAGATATAGTTCACAATATCTTAAAGAAATGGAGAATGTGAGCTGCTCTTAAAAAAAAAAAACCCAACAACTTACAACATGATTTGAATGTCATTTTTAAATTCAGCTTCTCAGATCTTACCAATTGTTAAAAACTCAAGACATTCATCTTTACAGTACACGATCCTCGTAGAAACACTAATCTGTGTGCACACATGATGGATTTGAAACAACAGCCTTGCTGCAACTAGATTGCTTGCTCCGGAGTGCCTTCTGGGAGGGGACCCTTGGGTGAGGTACACCGTTCCAGAGCGGCTCCAGAAGACAAACCATTTCTGACTACTCTATACCTACAAAACCCTGAAAAAGGTCACCAAAAGTCAGAATTGACTTTACAGCCCATAATGATTTCATTATCTGTTCACTTCAGTACCAATTAAATAAGTAATCCTATTTCAGATTACTGCATAAAGATAATCAGCAAAAGTATTTTTCACTGGCTAGCTGAAAACCAGGAAAAACATATCTCATACTGGCTATATTTATACAATTCTATCAAAATGTTTAACTATGAAATTATAACATAAGCAATACTGGGATTTATTCTCCAGAGACTATGCAAACTTATAAAGCATCTGGCCATATTAGATATGGAAAGTATTTTGCTTAGTTACATCCTCACCAAAATAGTCTTCAACTCCATCATAAAACTGACTAGATTCGAGGAGTGTTGCAGCCTCTGAAAAACACATTCATATTCATTAATTAATGTATGCAGTTTTTCAAAAATTAATTAAAATTAATTAAAAGCTATTGATGGACTATTCTTTCAATCACATGGCCAATTATGAGTTTCCTTACAGCTGTATCATACAGGCCTGGATAACATTAACGGAATGCATGAACCAAGTATTGTGGTGGGGCTCAGAAGTAGGCAAATCATCAATTTTTTTACCCTTGCTTCGCAGGTCCCTTGGCTCTCATAGGAAGTACAGTGGGGCCTCGACTTACAAACGTCCTTACTTACAAAAATGTTGAGTTATGAAAAGCTCCATTTGCAAAATTTTGCTTCGACTTGCGGCTTGAGCTTCCAGTTACGAACAGAAAAAGGCAGGGGGAAAAGGCAGGGAATTCAAACCACTGGTGGCGAAGAGGCTGCTTCTTCGCCCCAAAGTTTAGGAAAAGGGAAGCTCAGCCTCCTGGGCTTCCAACACCACCGCAACGGGTGCCGGTGCTTTGGAAGCCTGGGTAATTGGTACCTGGTGCGGCAGTCAGAGCAGCTTTGGAAGCCCGGGAAGCCGGCACCCGGCGTGGAGGTCGAGGCGGCTTTCAGCTTCCCAAGCCGCCCCTGCTGCCCTCTGCCTCCCGTCTCCACTGCAGGAGGTCGGGGGGCGAAGAGGCTGCTTCTTCGCCCCAAAGTTTAGGAAAAGGGAAACCAGGTACCAATTACCCAGGCTTCCAAAGCACCGGCACCCGGCATGGCGGTTGGGGCGGCTTTGGAAGCCTGGGAAGCCAGCACCTGGTGTGGCAGTTGGGGCAGCTTTCGGCTTTCTGGGCTTCCAAAGCCGCCCCAACCGCCATGCCGGGTGCCGGTGCTTTGGAAGCCCGGGAAGCCTCCACAGCAAATTTTTGGATTATATTTTTTTTGCAGCCCCAGTTTGCAGTGTTTTATTTTTATTTAATTTTTTGTGTTTTTTTCCCCTTTGGATGAATTGATTAATTGGTTTTCAATGCATTCCTATGGGAAATGGTGCTTCGACTTACAAAATTTTTGAGTTATGGCCACCGTTCCGATACAGATTAATTTCGTAAGTCGAAGCACCACTGTACAGCAAGCAACAGCAGCAAATACAGCTGTCTCTACATAGGTTTTAACTTATGCTACATCATTCCAGTTTACTATGAAAAAATATAACTCTTTAGGAAAATTATTTCCTTTACTCATATATTTTTCTTTTTCTCTTATCTATTCTTGAAGGATTTCCCACACAAACTCGTATAAAGTACCATTTACCTCTCTGTTCTCTCATCTGGTTCTTGTCTTATCTACCTTGCCTTTTCCTCAACATACCTTACTCCTCCAACATCTATATTTGACAACAGGTCTTGCCTTCTCTGTATCTCCCAGGTTTTTAATATTCTGCCCTGTCTGTTGCAGATGCCCAAGTTCTGATCCTGGATACAGCATTCATCCTTCATGGCTAGTAGCTGCTGAAATCCCTGGAGTCCTGAATGTGTCCAATCCCTTTTAAAGTTTACAGCCATCACTATTTCCTGAGCTGGCAAACTCCACAGGTTAACAATGCACAGTTTAAACGTGCATTTATTTGTCTTCAGTCTTTCACTGCTCAGTTCCAGTGGATGTCACCAGATTTCATGTAAAAAATTAAGGGATCTTTTCCCTCTACCAACCTACCACCATTTTGTATAACTGCATATCTCTAATATGTCTCCTTTTTCTTGCTTTTCCTAAGCTAAACAATCCCAACTCATAGGGGAGCTGCTAGAGCACCTTGTTCATTTAAGCTGCCAGATATGCCTCTTCCAAAAAGCAACTCCCTCTAATGTTAAATTCCTTGTCCCTACTTGCAGGTTCAGGATCATAATCTGACTCATTTCAGATGTGATCCATAATCCATTTATTCTGACCCATTTCTAGAGAAAAATCAATATAACTGTTAAAGACTGCCTCATGAATGGGTTGCTGACTATATAGCCTGACTCAAATATTCGTAACAACTCAAGCCATGGAAATTCAAAAACTTCAACTGCACTGTTCACTATTATACCTGTTTTAGAATCTGTTGATATCCATCTAACAGCTTTTTCAGATGCCAGGAACACTGTATCCTATAAAATAAAACAGCATTGCAGTTCAATCTGGCCAATGCTCAGATAGAAGACAACAGTGTTCTTTATTAGTTTCACATACATCCGAAAAGAAAAAAAATCATAAGTGTATCCAGTCACTCATACAATCTGCATTATAAGCATTATTATTGGCAGCACAGTTTCGTCTTTAAAAAATAAACTTTACTGATGTATCTTCAATAGAAATGAACAGATATAAGCAGACACCAATGCAAAAGTTCACATATACATCAGCTTTAATGGAGTTTCGCATGCTTGATTTATACTGCACATAATTCAGTATCTTAAACTCTAAGGTTTAGATAAACATGTAGGAGTACTTGCAACTACTTATAACCATCTATAACTATAGCAGTACATAATTAGAAAAGGAAAGTGAATCAGTTTTCACTGACCATTCAACTTCATTTCAAAGGTTCATAACCTCCCTCATAACTAGGGTAATCAACCGTTTCTCTCAACATTTATTCCTTTTATGTTCATTGAAATGTAGCACAAATTCCATTCAATCTTTCCATCTCAAAGAACAATGCACTTCTCAGAGTATGAAATGCATGTCATCGGCTCTGAAATAAGATCAACTGCAACACTCCTATCAAAGTAATGCTAGTGGGTTTTTTTCTGCAAGCCACATTCACTTTCTGAAATTTTAAATTTTCTACAACCTTGGTTGAACTCTGCCAGAATCAGATCATAATAGCACAAAGTAGTCTATTTAGGATTACTGTCCACATGATATTTTAATAAACTGGGAGAGTAAAAAAAGAATGCAGGACTCTGCACATGGTTAGTATGAAAACTACCTAAGCACTTACACACACATTCAGCCTCTGTACTGAACGGAAAAGCACACTTTAGTGTGCTCAGGAGCAACTCCTTTATTCTCGCATTCCATCTTTATCTAAGCATTTAGCTCTGGCATCTCGGCATTAATGAGTATCAGTTCAAGCTGTGTGCCAGTTACATTGAACTTGAGCATGACATGGCTCAAGTCCCTTTGGGTCTTTTTAAAGAAAAATGTAGGATAAAAATATTTTAAATAAATTAAAGAAACGGCTCACACACTCATGTTGACTAATTGCTGTAAAACAAATCTCTGTCTATAGAACCTCCTGGTACTCATATCACCAAAACCCAAAGGGTAGTATTATTCCCAACAATCTAATCATCACCTGAACAGATATCTCATACACATAACTCTTGACACAGACGTAGGGACTTACTACTAAAAATGAAGATATTACCTTGGAAAACATGTGTCTTACCTTGCATTTTTAAGCTGGAGATCCAAAGGTAACAATATCCTTACGTGAAAGTCTCTGCCCTGGGAAAGTAGCAAATCAATGAACAGAGTATCTACAAATGTATATATCTGGCAAAGTCTATATGCATGAGTATTTCACTGGTATTTTAGAAGCAGGTTTTGACCCCAGTTTAAATTTCTTTTCTTTTAATGTGATAATACTGGTAAATATTCCCAAATATTGTCTTAGTGATTAAAACATCAATACACAGCAATAACACCAATTTGATTGACATCAGCAGAAGACAAATGCCAATTTCAAACACATTCAAATATTTATTAAAGAATTAGAGTTCTGTACACAGTGGTGCTGCTGTATCCACGGGATCAGTACCTGGTTATCTGCTGCCTGAAAATATAGTCAGGCTATTGTTATGAAATAATTTCCAGTCCAATACCATACATTGCATGCCCAGATGTAAGCTCTACTGAGCTGAATGAAAATTTATCTCAATAAGTGAATACAAGACTGCAGCCTTCATTTTCCCCTAAAGGTGTAGTCAGATTCTTTCAATAAATTTCCTTACAAAAGGTAGATGTTGACCAGATTTGGAGAACAAATGGAGGTGTCAAGCCTCCCCAATACAGTTCACAAAGCTCTGATCTGCAAAGCATTTTAACTGAGTTTGGAAACAGATTTCAGTTAGCCAATAATTATTTTCAGCATTTGTACAAAGGAATGGATGTTTCAAGAAACTGTCATAATACAGTCTGAAGTGGAGCACAATTAATGTACCCCATAACCTTTACCTTCATAGTATATTGCAGCTCTCCCATCTATTACATTTAAATGGCCTTTTTAAAAAAATAAGAAAGCACATGTAATTCTGACCTTTTGTAAAGGTCAAATAACTATGATTCAATGTTTCATTAAAGTATCAAAAGATACTTTAAGAACAGCTTTAAAGAGACCCGCATACTGAAAAATTTGTGACCATATGTAAATGTTGTTATCCTCTAGACATAGAACAGCTTTGATAACCCTTAGTTAACAAAGGAAGAGAATTTTTTTTCTATATAATGGGTTATCTCCTTCACATTCAGAAGCAAAGGACAAAAAATACACAGGAAACAAAGCCAAATTTCCATCCTGCCATGGCTCAATAAAACTCAGTGTTCTAAAAGGGTAATTCTGTGCCTTCCAAATTCTTCTAGACGGTTGGCTCCAATTTTAATGCAATCCCTTTTGCTACCATTTCAGTTCCATGACATGTACATATGAGGCTCAAGCCCATACAGTGGACCCTCGACTTACAGACAGCTCGACTTACAGACTTTTCAAGTTACAGACATCTCTGGCTGCAAAATTTAGGTTCGACTTGCAGCCGGAGAATCGACCTACAGGCCAGAAAAAAACAAAAACAAAATGGAACGAAAACAGAAAACAGACGGTTATGGATTAATCGGTTTTCAATGTATTGTAAGTCAATGGAGCCTCGACCTACAGACTTTTCTACGTGTAGCCACCGTTCCAATACGGATTAATTCCATTAGTAGAGGATCCACTGTATGAGGTAGTATTAAGTCCCCTTGGTTTATAAGAGGCAAAGCAAGATAGTTTCTCTGAGAATATTTCAAGGAAGTTAATGCCTGGGGGAGGAATGTATGAAGACAATTTTCTCCTCCTTCCAAAGAAATCATTAAACAGCCTCCCTCTTTGCCTAATACTTTGAGCTAGAGAAAAATTAATCAACAGGATGAGAAGCCCCACCCTAATGTGGCTGCAGCCAAATCTGGACAATGAAATGAAATGAGGCAGTATAATCTTGATATAGTACAAAGGACTTCAAAATGCTATTCCACATAATAAAAAGAGATCTTTTTGAATTAGGGGACGTCAAACGCAGGATTTAAATAAAGTAACGTGGCTTATTCTTACTCAGACATACACACAGTTTGGTTCACCCAGAACCCTTAACTTGAAGCACAGACCCTGAACCTATCAGTTCTGGCTAACCAACAGACACCTGAACCTATCAGGTTGGTACTGACTGACACACAGTAGTACCCTGTCTGACACACAGACTCCCACACCAGCTTCTTCTTCCCAGCTGCTGCTTCTTCTTACAACTTCTCCACACACGCTCCACATATTTATACAGTACAGCCCCTCCTCCTGATGTCCCGCCTTCCACTCCCCATAGGATGGAACTTTCCCTCCAAACCCATGACAGACAGGTAACATCAGTGCTGTATGTAACAGTGCCATCAGAGACCATTTGAAGTTCTACACAGGACATAGAACATCACGTGCCCCGTTGCTCATTCATAGTTGGCTTCAACTTTGCACTGCAGCTCTTACCCGGTTTCCATGAACATAAACCCTAGAAGGTTTTTTCAGCATGCTCATCAAAAAAGCTGTACCCCAAAAATAAGCCCCAGTTAAGTGAAACCCCGCCCTCCACCCTTATGCAGCAACCAGAAGATGACATGACCATACGGTACTTGAATAAATAGACTGTGGTCCATGAAAAAAATAAAACATCCCCTGAAAATAAGCCCTAATGCAAACATTGATATAAAATCCTGTTTTGTTTTTGGGGAAACACGGTATGTACACGTCTGGCACAGACACAGGCAGGGTTTCTATGCTGTCTACTCTCACTAGCAGAGATGCTCCAGTCACAGGCAGACAAAAGTCCTTTCTGGCAGTTGCTCCCACACTCCAGAACATTCTGTGGGAGACTAGTTTGGTTCCCTCTTTGCTACCCGCAAGGCAATTTTTATTAAGCACGTTAGCTGATCTTTAGCTTTTTCTTTGTTGGAAGTAATCTGATGGTGCATCTAGATTGGAAGGAGCAACTGACAGGTTCTGTTGCTGCCCAAGGGATGCTCAAACGTGTTCAGGTTCTTCAGGAAGGCTCCTTCCATGTCCCCCAATATTTTCCTGAAGAGGTTTAACTGCTGATATGTTGGCACTGACCTACCTGTAGTGTTTTCAAATGAGTTTGCTTTTAGATTATATTTCAATAAAGATTTTATTTTAGGATAGCAAGCAATCCTGAGCAACCTGTTGGGGGTGGGAGGGGTAAGATGGTATAAAAGCAGGGAATATATTAAACAAAAAATCAACAAAACAGAAACCTCAGGTTCTGAAATGTGAAAGAACATTTGAAAGAGCCTGTGTGCTGTAGGGGTCACAGTACTGACATGGGAACTTGGAAATCTAGGTTCGATTCCCCATGAAAATCACTTGGATGACCATGACAGACCAAAATAAAAAGAGGACGATATCTTTACTGGGCCTCTAATGTAAGGCCCTTCATCAGGCTCAACACTGCAGAGTTTCAGAAGTGAGGGAGAGTCCAAAAACTCATCCTGACCAGATAATGCAATGTCAGAATCCATATTAGAAGCAAATAGGATGAATTCAACCATATTGGTAGACAAAGGGCTGCCTGGTACTTTCTCTATCACTTTGTGTAGAAGCGTATAATTCCTATAAAGTTGGAAGTAGAAGCACATACAGGAATCAATTTTATTTCAGCCCCATCTACCTCACAAGGTTGCTGTGCAGATAAACTGAGGAGCAAGAACTAATGTCCTTTTTATCTCCAGCGCTTTCAGTCTGCAAGTGCCTGGTGAGTCATATGTGCAAGTGAATCTGAAGAGCTGTTTTGAGCTTCTCTTCCAGCATCTGTGAATGACAGCGATTTCCTATTAAACATGAACTGTTAGATAGCTCAGTTGAGCATGTGGCTTGCAGAGCCAGAGCCTGGGAGCTCAATTCCCCATTGTGATCATTCTCTTTCTCACCAGCACCCTGACTTCTTTTGCTAGATTCCTTATGGTGGGTGTTTTTTTTGGGGGGGTCACTTATGCTTCAGCAACTTTTAATAACAATTATAATCTTAGAAATGCAGAACTGAAAGGGATAATAGATTCCAGTCCCTGTCAAAGAGGGGGAGGGAAATCAAGCTCTGGTTCCATAGCCAGATGCCTTTGCGGTGGGGGGGGGGAGGGATTGCCTTGGTCACTCCTGCTTTATATCATGAGGAAATCAAAAGCAGGAAAGGGCTCCTGTGCAGCTACTCAAAACTGAGCCACTGACTCAAAGTTGTGTGAAATTCATACAGCCATACTTGCATCAGCTAAATTGTTCAGGTCTTATTGGAAGAAAAGCGAGATCTAAATGCAGCGGGGCCATGATAAAATTTGGAAGTGCTGGGGCTCACAGGCCCTTATAGTCTCCCTGCCCCATAAGGAGAGTCTGAACATCAGAGTGGATCTGCTTTAAATCACTAAGGTTTGTTTAAATCATGATTTGTAAATCTGGAGACTCATTCTTGCTGGTAGCTATAATCTTTCATATTTGCAACCAGATGAAGATTTTATATTTAGAATAATAATTTGTCAGATTAGTAGAACAGTTGTATCAGAACAAATTTTAGCTGAATTGGTTAATCACATATTTGGAGAACTACTTGTTTTATTTAACTAAAACAGTAACATAGATATTTTTGTATTTGGTAAAACATCACTGTGTTCATTGTTTGTACACAGATTTGCAGAACAATGGGATTAGGTCTTTCCTGAACTTTGTTCATTTTATACCATCTCTATTGTGAAAAGTGCATGTTTTTCTCAGTTTGGATAACTTGGATTAAATGAATTAATCCAAAAAAATGTAAATATTGCATGAATACATACCTTCATGCTACATAACGAAGTTCGATTTCATGTTGAATGACCTTTCAACTATAATGTATCTTAAATATAAAACTATCTTTAGTTTTCCTCCAGTAACATTTCATTAAAATAAATGTGATTTAAAAAATTTTAAATCCAATTTAAACTTTAAAAAATATTTTTTTTAAAAAAAATCATCTATTTTAATCACCCTGCTGAACATTCAGGCAGCTAGATCAGTCTCTATGAATAAATACGTTGTGAGTCTTTTGTAAAGTCAATGGCTCTTGACAGCCCGTTTCAGAAAAAAAAATCATGCTTAAATACTTCACATTCCAGCAGGCACAATAATGAATAATTATGTGCTGTCACGTCAATTCTGACTTCCAGCAACCCTTGCCTGGATTTCCTAGGCATAAAGACCAAGCAGTAGTTTACCAGTCCATTTTTGTGTTAGCAAGAATATAATTTCTTTCTTTCCCAGCTAGTGTCAGGATTTTAGATCAACTCAGAGGGATCAACAGGAAATCCTGAAGAAGTAGATGGTTTCACAGTCCCTGCTTCTCATAAAGTCCTGGGGCTTCAACTCCATAAGTCCTGGCACCACTATTTTTTGTTTATTTAAAATATTTCTTTCCTCCTGCATAAATGTAACAGATCTATAAATGAAATAAACCATTTTCTAATTGGGACATATAGCGTGGCAAGCAAACAGAAAGTTTAAACAAAAAGACCCAAGATACAAAATAAAATAAACAAATAAAAGATAAATAAGTAAAACATAACTAAATAAAAAAGCAAAAATTAAAGCAATTTGATTTAAAACATGATTTAAATTTAAAATGCAGATTTTTTTGACAATTTAAATTTTTTTAAAAAACGACTTTATGGATTTTTTAAAGCATAATTTAAATCAACTTGGTTTTTTTTAAAAGAAAATCTGCCCTGCAAGCAAGTGGCCTACCTCGCAGGGTTATTGTGTACATCTGTGTGGGGGATGTGCGAGGGATTGCTCTCCCACCGCCCCTTTATAACGACAGAGAAAGCCTTGGGGGATGGCCAAAACTTGCCCATCATGTCTGGGCGGGAGATCCCCATGACACCGGAGTTCGAATCCTCCCTCAGGCGGGTAAAGCTGCGGGCTTTCTTCTTTTCTTCCCCTCAACTTCCCTCACAGGCGAGTTGAATCTTGAGCTAATTAAAAGGCTGAAGAGCAAAGGAAGGCGTCTCTGTACCTGAGCAGTGAGGAAACCCTCATAAACCGTCCCTTCCCGGTTCTGAGGCAGGAGAAGCGGACACTCGCGGAGCAACGAACCGAGACCAGCCGCCATCTCCCGCCCGCGCCTTTGGGTTTGCCGCGCAGGGAGGAAAACCAAAAAGACAACCCTCAGCGAGGGTTTCCACTTCGGAAGAGCAAAGGAAGGCGTCTCTGTACCTGAGCAGTGAGGAAACCCTCATAAACCGTCCCTTCCCGGTTCTGAGGCAGGAGAAGCGGACACTCGCGGAGCAACGAACCGAGACCAGCCGCCATCTCCCGCCCGCGCCTTTGGGTTTGCCGCGCAGGGAGGAAAACCAAAAAGACAACCCTCAGCGAGGGTTTCCACTTCGGCGGCGCGCACGGCGCATGCGTCCCTTTCCCTTCCTATCCTTTTTATTTCCCCCTTCCAACTCGCGCGCCACCTTCCCCTCCCAAGAAAGAAGCACCGCAGGCGCATGCGTATTGTTCCTTGAGCCTATTTCCCCTTTACCACCCCTCCCGCGCGCGTGCGTGCAGCGGGACATTTGCCACCAAATGAGGACAAGGAACGCGGGGGGTGCAAGAACGGGCGGGGTCGGGCGCTTAAACCCGAAAAAAAGAAAAGAAAGAAAAGCAACTCGGGCGCGTGTTCTGTTTTGGGAAAAGGGACAGTTAGGTGTCCGTTCCTATTTGAATGCCCTCCCGGCCTTCGCGCGCTGTCTCTGATTGGACGGAATGACTGTGCGTGAGACAGGTGGGCGGGGCAAGGCGGATGCCACACCCCTGCTGCTCGCCTTTAAATAGTCTCGAGTCGTTTCCTCAGGCCGTTATTTCATGCGCTAAGGTTTTGTGGGTGTGAACCCTGAATAAATGTGGCAGCTTACGTGAAATGCAGTTTTGTGGTCTCCTCATGCTTTCTTTCCCCATTAAGCCTAGTGAGGCTCAGTCATCCCTACTGCTTGGCCTGTGTTCACACATACCAGGGAGTCAATCCCATGGCATCAATGGCTAGCATGCTCTGAGGGGTTTACTCCCTTGTCAATGTGATTGTAACCCCTAGGGGTAAAATCCTGCTCATTCTGCCCCTTTAGTTTTCTGGGGAGCTGGTGGTGATGAAATGGGTGGGATGTAGACTTAACTTGAGCGACAATGGGTGAAAACTCAACGTGAATCTGCTCCAACACAATCTAAGGCCCTGGGGGGGGGGCTATTCTGTGGCAATCAAAACGGTGAAGAAGTCATTCTCTGCCACCACTCCATCTGCACGGAATCGCCAAAAGCCCAGCCTTTTCGAACGGTCAAGGGCCTGTTACATCCTATCCCTCAGGAAGCTAAGGCTGACCACAGTGTAGCTTGCTGGAAAGAACTCGCACACCCCATTTTGCAGGCAAAACGTCTCAGATCTTCCTCGAGTGGGAGGCTGTCGTCGTTTCGGGCCCTGTGACTACCTATTTCAAGCTGGCTTCAGGCCTGGTTATGGGACAGAGACGGCTTTGGTTGCCTTGGTAGACGACCTACGCTGGGACCTGGATAGGGGATCCGTGTCCCGGTTGGTTTTGCTGGACTTCTCAGGGGGTTTTGATACGATCGACCATGGTAGCCTCCTGTGGAATGGGACTCGGAGCCACTGTTTTCGGGTGGCCCCAGTCATTCCTGGAGGAGAGAATTCAAAAGGTGGTCCTGGGGGTGGGCTCCCCTTGGACACCCCGGCCACAGACCTGTGGGGCCCCTCGGGGTTCTGTTTTGTCCCCTGGGTTATTTAACATGCACAAAAAAACACTGAGAGAGATTATCCGTGTGGCTGGTTCAACGACACCCAACTCTACCTCTCCTTCCTAAATCCAAGGAAGCTGCTTTGGCTCTAGATCAGTGTTTGGTATCACTCATGAACTGGATAACAGGGAATAAATAGAAAGTATTCGCGAAGGCTTTCACGGCCGGGATCTAATAGTTGTTGTGGGTTTTTCGGGCTCTTTGGCACACGTTGCTGTCCGCTGAAGATGCCGACCACAGAGACTGGCGAAACGTTAGGAAGAACAACCTTCAGAACACGGCCAAAGAGCCCGAAAAACCCACAACAACCAATAAATTGAAAATCCAAACAAGACAGAGGTGCTTCTGGGCAGTCCAAAGGCCCACCTGCCAGGAACAGCACCTGCATACAGGTGCCCCAGGCCGGCCTCAGTGGTAGCCAAGAGTGCATCTGCACAATGAAAACGAGTGCACCTAGTTACTTCCCAGCTGGATGAGTGTAACACACACATTGTGGGGCTGCTGATGGAAACTGTCAGGAAACTTCAGCGAGTCCAAAATGCAGCAACCGAATTGCTGCCCGGGGCTGGTTATAGAGAGATCATATACCCCCCCCCCCTTTGCAGCAACTCCACTGGCTGCTGATCAATTTCCAGGCACAATTCAACGTCCTGTTTCTAACCTATAAAGTTTGAAAAGCCCTCTTTGGACCCCACACAACTGAATCATTACCAACCAGTATCTAGTATCCCATCCTTAGGGAAGGGGCTGGAGTGGGTTGTGGCCTCTCAGCTTCAGAGGTTTGTTTTTTGGATGAGGCAGATACTCTAGACCCATTTCAATCTGGCTTCAGGCCTGGTTATGGGACAGAGACGGCTTGGTAGATGACCTACGCTGGGACCTGGATAGGGGATCCGTGTCCCTGTTGGTTTTGCTGGCCCCCTCAGCGGCTTTCGATACGATCGACCACGGTAGCCTTCTGTGGAAAAGGACTCGGGGGCCACTGTTTTCCGGTGGCTCCAGTCGTTCCTGGAGGAGAGAATTCAAAAGGTGGTGCTGGGGGGGGCTCCCCTCAGACCCCCCGGCCACAGACCTGTGGGGCGCCTCGGGGTTCTGTTTTGTCCCCTGGGTTATTTAACATCCACATGAAAACACTGGGAGAGATTGTCCGGAGTTTGGGGGTTCAACGACACCCAACCCTACCTCTCCTTCCCACCTAAATCCGAGGAAGCTGCTTTGGCTCTAGATCAGCGTTTGGTATCAGTCGCGGACTGGATAACGGGGAATAAATGGAAACTTAACCCAAATAAGCCAGAGGTGCTTCTGGCCGGTCCAAAGGCCCACCTGCCAGGAACAGCACCTGCATACAGGTGCCCCAGGCCGGCCTCAGTGGTAGCCAAGAGTGCATCTGCACAATGAAAACGAGTGCACCTAGTTACTTCCCAGCTGGATGAGTGTAACACACACATTGTGGGGCTGCTGATGGAAACTGTCAGGAAACTTCAGCGAGTCCAAAATGCAGCAACCGAATTGCTGCCCGGGGCTGGTTATAGAGAGATCATATAACCCCCCCCCCTTTGCAGCAACTCCACTGGCTGCTGATCAATTTCCAGGCACAATTCAACGTCCTGTTTCTAACCTATAAAGCCCTAAATGGCCTGGGTCCAAGCTATCTCAAAGACAGTATTTCCCATTATGAGACTATGAGTGTTAAGATAATCAGAAGAGGAGACCTTTCTCCCAGTCCCACCACCTTCACTGATATGTTTGGTGGGGGCACAGGAGAGAGTCTGCTCTGTTGCTGCTCCCAGACTTTGGAACTCCCTCCCACTAGAGGCCAAGCTGGCCCCATAATTGCTGTCCTGCAAGCAGGCCAAAGAACTTTTCTCTTCAGACAAGCCTTTCCACCATAACTAGCTACCTGTGTGTGATTTTTTAAAAGATGGATCCTTATTAGAGATGGGGGTATTTGTATTCGCATATGAATATTAATACCCCTCACAGGTGGAGATAATGAGGATCTGTTGTTGTTGTTAAAGACTGGACACAACTTATGTCATAAATGGGCTGGTACATATACTCTATAAAGGTAAATACACTTATGCTAGCATAAATCCTCAGATTGTGGCCAACTGGTCTCATTTCTATATAGACTTTGGGTTCCATGGCCAAATTATTATTATTTAATTAAATTCCTCAGGAGCCATTTAGAAACAGGCACTATCTTCAGTCATCTCCATCACGTGCTGGGCATGATCTATTATAGCAGTTTTCATTTCAATAATGCCAATGTTGTGCTTTGCGTGAATGTGAATCTGTAAGGATGGCTCAGATGTGATCGTTTGCTTTAAGAAACAAAAAGTGCCTATGAACAGGGCAGGATGGATTTAATTTAAATCAAATTGATTTAGATTTTTAAAAAAATCACTTAAAAATAAATCGTGATTTAAATCAATTTGATTTTTTTTAAAAAATCATTGATCCACCCTGTGAACAGGATTATCAAATTAAGAATCATATTCATATTCATTATTCACAACAGAGAAAGCACTGTATATGTATATCTAACCATACTACCTTAGTAATGAGGGAGCTGCTACATCGTGCCTAGTTTTATGGTTCTCTGAGTGGGTACCGGATAGCTGTTCAGCTGGAAAACAAAACGGCAGTTTATGCCTATTTCTACGATGCTGTCATCACATCCCAACACCCAGGTTAAGTGGAAGCTTAGGGTGCAGCTCACCTTGTATCCATATTACCCTACTAGCAGCTATCCATAGTGAACATATTGCTGTGCATGGAGGCGGCCATTCCAGCATGTTGCTTGGGTTGCATTGTGGTTCTTGTGTGCACCTGTTTCTCTAAAATGTAGCTTCAAAAGGCCTTAGGTGTTACGTAAGCGCTTATGCAAAACGTGCTCTTGGTTCCCCAGAATTCCGTCTTTTTGGCAGGAATCCAGGAGCCACCCTATAAATCAGCAGCCTTCTTCACATAAAGTACATAGGTTCTCTAATGCCTCGTTTGCATCTCCTTGAATTATAAAAAATATTCCCCTTGCAGACATTCCCAGCACTGACACGCCAGACCAATCCATATGCTATCCTGATTTTTGAAGATTCAGAAGGGTACTGCTAATCCCTTACAAACCTTGAAAATATTTGGAGGTTTTCCAGACTGTCCGCCGAAGATTTTCCCCCTCATAAATGGTGGTTGTGAATTGTAAAATAAGACCTTTGGCTCAATGTGTGATCTTTTACTACAGGGTGATTCCTGCTTTTGCATTCTTTTAAATGATTGCCCCAAAATAAATTTCCTAAACATGTCCTTTCCTAACTATTATAACTGCATGGCTTAATGCCTGTAACTCCCTTGTATTTTATATTCAAAAATATAGGTACATAATGAATCAGCTAA